CTACCCTAAGCCCTAAGCCCCCAGCCTTAAAACCCGAAGCCCTAAACCGTAGACCCCTAAACCCTAAACCCTAAACCCTAAACCCCTAAAGCCTAAACCCTACACCCTAAACCCTAAACCCCTAAACACCTAACCCCTAAACCCCTAAACCCCTAAAACCTAAACCCTAAACCCTAAACCCTAAACCCCAAAGCCTACCGTCCTCCAGCATCCTGTTTTTGCGGCCTCAGAGCAGCTTCGGCTTGGTCGCAAAAGCAGAGGTTTTGGGGAGTTTTAGCTTAGGGTTTAGGGTTTAGGGTTTAGGCACATTTTAGCTAGGTTTAGGGTTCAGGGTTTACCTGAAGTTTACCTTAACTCTAAATAACCCACCCTTTTAAGGACTTACATAATTACAAAAAAACCATAACAAGGAACCCCAAAAAAGTAGGTTCTTTAGGGTTTAGGGCTTACGGGCTCTCGAGTTAGGGGAAAAGGAACCTTGCGTTTAGGGTTTCGGGGTTTAGGGGTTTACAGCGAAAAAGGGGTTTAGGGGTTTAGGGTTACGGGTGCTCATATTGGGCAAGGTATATGCATGATATGCCGCGAGACCTTATTTGTGTTTGACAGCCTTCGGGAGACCTAAAGCACACCCCAAGTTGCGCTTGTCCTGAATGCTGCTTTGGCTGTAAATGGGAGTCTCAGGAATTGCTTGGCTGGAGGGATTCAGGGCTCAGTGCATTGCAGCCGAACGCAGACCCCCAAGTTCACATCCTTTTGTTGTTTGGGTCCTTCGGTTCATGATATAAATCCTGCATTGCCCGCAATAAGGAATGTGCCACAATTCCCACAGTTTAGGGTCCTTGAGGTAATGCAGGATTTATATCATCAGCAGGTACTCAGGTATTCTAAGAATGGCATAGCTCCTATATTGAAAGCTGCTATCATCGTAACCTCCCTCCCGGGCTCGGTTTGAAGTGTGGTCGCCGGTCGTCCAAAAGGGGACATGTCCTGGGCTCTTGTTAAGACGTCTTCTCAGATACCCATACAGTTGTAGGGAAGCTGTGTTATTGTATTCTGGTAGCTCAAAACTAAGTTACTTCAAGAACCCAGTAACTAAACCCTAAATCCTAAACCCTAAGCCCTATAAGTCTTTATAATGAGAACTTAGAACAAGGACCCAGTCATGATGACAGCCGGACCGATGGACACGGCTTGGCATGCAGTGCGCAGATGGACGGCAGGGTAGGGGGTCGAGCTTCGGGGTTTAAGGAAAAGGGTTTAGGGTTTAGGGGCTGAGCCTCGGCAGAGTCCTTGGTCCTGTGCTCAGTGGGGTGCTGGCATTCATCAAGCCCAGTTGCAAAAAAGGGGCTGAAATAGAAAGCCTATCCAATTATAACAAGATTTTGGGGCCAATTTTGGGGCATCTTGTAACCAGATAAGTTATGTGTTTAGGGTTCAGGGTGAAGGGTTATAAGGACTCAGGGGACACTGTTATTCGCTATTCCAGCCCGTACCTGATGTGGAGGGCGGAACCAGCACAGGCGCCAAGTCAGGTCGACTGGCGGCTGAACCCTAAGCAAGGAACCTCACCCTAAACCCCTAAACCCTAAACCCTAAACCCTAAGCCCTATGCCCAGAAGCACACACATCGTTGAAGCGAACCGCCGTTCTTCTCGGCATGGCCTTCGCCGGTTAGAGAACCATCTCTAGCAATGCATTCTCCAGAGGCTCCCGAAGGGACAGCTGAGGTAGCGCTGAAGCTTGCCCGTTGATCGTGCAGTTTAGGCTTTAAGGGTTTTGGGTTTAGGGTTTCAGAAGTCTTGCATTTCAAAATCAAGAAGCAGGCCCTAACGACTCTGGACAAATCGCAGAAATCCTAGAGGCTAAAGCCTAAACCGTAGACCGGAAACTGAGAGAGACACCCAACATTGAACTCCCGGCCGGAAATTGCAAACAAGAGCGCAGGACCGAAATATCAGGAAGCATAGGTTGTACGTTGTAAATATGGCTATACATCCCCTAACGGGGTAGCTGTGCGACTAATTTTATCCTACTCACATATATGTCCCCTGATCAAAGGTCAAGGATAATCCTGAGTGACTGTGCATGGAAGGAGATTAGGTTGCGAAGCCCATGCAGCAACAAGGACGGTGCAGGAAGTACATCTGGCTATGCAGTTAATGGTGAGAGGTATCTGCAGCCATTGTGGTCATATCGCGGCTACCCATCCTAAACCCTAAACCCTAAACCCTAAACCCTAAACCCGGCTCGTCCTTGCTAAGTAGGAGGCGAAAAAACCCTAAGCCCTAAACCTTGCCGCATCAGACCCGAATCTCGGATTCCTAGAGTCGGCTCAGGTGATATCTTTTTCCCAGAGACTCCAAAACCCCTTAATTAGGGAATATACTTAAAACTTATAGTAGGACCCCTCATATGATTTAAGGTATATTCCTTAATTAAGGGATATTGGAGTCTGTGGGTTGTTTACGTTCATCCCAGAGACCTGGGAGTAGGGTTTAGGGTAGCCTTTCGGCATGTCTTGAACTAGGGGCAGGCAGGGTTTAGGGTTCAGGGTTTAGGGTTTAGGGTTCAGGGTTTAGGGTTTAGGGTTTAGGGTTTAGGGTTTAGGGTTTAGGGTTTAGGGTTTAGGGTTCAGGGTTCAGGGTCTCTTCACAACAGGATCCTATGATTTTTGGGTTCGCTACTCGAAGCCAAGACCCGAGAGCCCGAAAGGCCGGGAGCTCATCTAAACCCGAAATGCTACCTTGTAGAATAATACCCTTCTATTGGCGTTGGGCCATTATTTTAGGGCTTAGGGTTTAGGGTTTAGGGTTTAGGGTTTAGGGACATTTTGGGAAATTTAGGCACTAAGTGCCATGGATGCTGTTCGGCGCAAGCTGGAAGATCTCCCGCGTCCGAGGACGCGAAGTGCTTCCCTGGTACGGTCTCCCTAAACCCTAAGCCCTAAGCCCTAAGCCCTAACCCCCGAACCCTGAACCCTAAACCCTAAACCCCCTAAACCCTAAACCCCCTAAACCCTAAACCCTAAATCCCTAATCCCAAAGCCACTCTAAGCCCAGGGAGCTTTTTTAGCACTAGCAATCTCCCGGCAAAGCCTCGGGATGTCCAGACCATGACTTGCTCGGCATTGGCTGTTGCCGACTTCGGAAAAGAGGATCTTGGCGTTCTTCTGGTTGGCTCTTAGGACTCTAACTTTTTGAGTTTCTATATGAACTCTTGTCATTTCCGAACTCTAACAAGTAGGCTAAAAGATTAACTTTAGGAGGGGTTCAGAAGTCAGCCAGGTTGAGGAGTTCAGTTTCAGGGTTTCATACAGGGGCCTAAATAATTGCCACTACTATCGTGGGGCTGCCCTATTATCATTGTAGTACGATGTGCCCTAAAGCCCTGTTCTGATTTTAAATATCATAAGGAACCCCAAAAATAGTTTCGGTAATTATTCAAGCTCCTACATTACTGTAGAAGCCTAAATAATTATCAATACCATTCCTCGGGGGTTCCCTACTGTAGTTGCAGTTCAGGATTTAGGGTTTAGGGGTTTAGGGGTTTAGGGTTTAGGGTTCGGGGCTGAGGGCCCTAAACCCGAAACCCTGACAGTCGTTGCAGGTGGAAGCGAAGCAGATGGAGCTAAGGTCGGAGAGGATCATGTGCAGATGGATGGAAGGAGCCTACCGAGCCCACCTCGTGCGGAAGGTGTTCTGGGAGTAAACCCTAAACCCCAAACCCTAAACCCTGAACCCTAAACCCTAAACCCTGAACCCTAAACCCTAAACCCTAAACCCTAAACCCTGGAAGCATGCTTTCAGCTCCCGGAAGCTGGAAGTTGCGGCCGAATTCGGAGCAGAACTGGTTGCTCACTTCCAGTCGCAAAAACCCGAAGCCCGAAGCCCTAAACCCAGTTATATGTAGGTTCTTGTTATAAACCCTAATATGGGAGTTATAGTGACCCTACAAAAAAAGTAGGTTTTGGGTTCTTAAGGGAAGCCCTAAACCCTAAACCC